CAGCAGCAGCGCCGCCCGCTCCACCACTCGCCCGCCCTCTCGCTGCAGCACGTCCTGCTGGCCGGCGCCGACGAGGCCGCCCGGTCGCGCGCCGCGGCACCACCGCCGCTATTCCCCCCTGCGACGACGACGACGACGACGACGGCAGATGGTGGGCAGGCGCTCAACGGCCGGGCGGGCGGCGGGGCTGCTGGGGGCGGCGGTGGTGGTGGCGAGGTCGGCGGCGGCGGCGTCGTGGCGGCGAGCAAGGCGACGGAGGAGCTGGGGTCCATGGTCAACGGGACGGCGCCGCCGCCTTTGCCCTTGTTCCCATACGATGGCGGCCGCTGCGTGCTCGAGTCGCGCGGCGCGCTGGGGGCGTCGCTCCCGGTTGGCGGCGGTAGGGAGCCGAGCGAACTGTCGGGTTGAGGTGCTGCAGGGCGGGAGGGTTTCATGGGCCTTTCCTTTGTTGTTTCCCTGGAGGAGAAGGGTGGCAAAAAGCGTGCATGCAGCGTGAGATGGGAGCGTCACGGGGAGGAAAGATGCTTGGTTTGTCCGAGATGGGATTCGTCCTTTTGCTGTGGCAGGGCTCGTATTGTTGAATATCTAGTGTTTGATGCTTTAAGAGGGAAATATACATGGCCTAGCCAAGTCGAAAAGTGGTGGTATCGTTCGCCACGAAAATCCGTACGGGATATCTATCCTGCTAGTCGGTTGTGATGGCTCCGGCCGCTGTTACCAGCCCCCAACCAAGCATGCTTGCACCGTAAGTAAGACACAAACGATGCATAGAAATTGGTGTTACTGGAGGGCGCGGTTGTTGGCGGCTTCTGGGGCTTGTGGGAACCAACTTGGGAACTCTTGTGGCTCTTTGGGAAACAGATCCGCCATCTCCCCAAGACTATCACTGGGGGATAAGGAGGGTTCTAGCCCTACCTTCCTCTGAGCTAGGTAGCAGCAGCGTTGCGGAACCTGGATGAAAAATACTCCGGTGGCTTACATGGTTGACCTCGCCTTGCCGGCGGTGCCTCCTGGCGGGAGCTTTCACAACCAGCAGTGAACATGCGCCCTGATAGCCTCGTGCGGCCGCGACTGTAGCAGCGGTGTTTACGGTCCTTTTGGCATGGCGGTTGGGAGGAGGGGGAGGAAGGGAACGTATAGGTGATGCGGGATGCACTTTACACTCACCTGGGGCCCGCCCCCTTGGTTCTAGACCTAGGATATGTTTTTGGTGCCGGTCTAGACGGAAGCGAGTCCAGTTGGCGGCCCTGCAATATAGAGCAAAACGAAACCAGGCGGCCATCCATGGTTTCAACCAAAGGCAGAAAGAATCGAGGGCACACAGCCATCCATAGAAGCAACCGTAGCGAGATCGCAGGAATCCCAACGCCACCCAAACCGCCGTCTTGGCAGGCCACACGGCCCAGCGTGGCGGACAAGGCCGCTGAATTGTGCCTGGCTTGGAGCAGCGAGCGCAGAGCTGTGTTTTGCGCATGACGGACCTGGCGCGTGCCGAGACCGGGTAGGTCGCCCCTCGGGAGCCCTGCATGGCCTGGCCTGGCAGGGCGAGGGCGGGGTGTGGGGTTAAACATCGAGGCCGGCTGTTGCTCGACTGGGAAAGGAAAGCCAGGTAACAAAAAAAAAATGTACCTCTGTACCGATCACCGAAACGGGGTGGTGGTGGTGCTCCAGACCGCTCGGATCAACGCCACGTATCTCTCGCTCAGCGTCCGGATTTTCGCTCTTGATTTTACCCAGGAACAGAGCAACTGCTAGCTCAAGACAGGATCCACAAGTCTCGGCTCAATCCGAGATGGAAACGGTTGCACATACCCAGGCGATTGACCCAAAGGGGAAACAAAAACAAAAAGGCAGAATATCACAAGGTCAAAATATCCCTTCGTCGGCTCTCATCCCATAAAGCCCCGATCCCTCTCGATCTCTCTGGCCTCATCTAGCTCTCTCAACTCTTCCACCCCTTCCCCTTCCCTCGGCCCATGCTGGACCCGGGTGCGTGGCAGGGCAGCGGGGGGGCCGTGCGCGTCTGAGCTTTAACGATAGGATGAGGTGGGGCAACCCCATCGGGCCAGCAGACAAGCTTGAAAAGAAAAGAAAAAAAAAAAGAGAAATAGGAACGAACCTTGGCCCAGCATCAGAACTCGTATGGGGGACCGCCTTGATTTACATAAACCTTCCTTCGGATGAGGTACAGTCGCTGGCTGGGTGGCTATTCATGGTGGGTGAGAAGCGAGAAAAGAGAAAAAGAAAAGAAAAAAAAAGCCAAGAAGGGGGTTGAGTACCTGAGACATGGTGGGCATTGGTCCAGCGGCCCGGCCGCTTGACAGGTTTTGGCTTAAGCACGAGGCCGAGGGTGGTTGCACTCCCGCCCTTCTACGGGAGCCATCGCCGGCGTAGCTGCACCCCTCCAGCTGAGAAAAAAAATCGGCATGCGCGCGCGCATTGTGTCGGGCTGCTAGGTCAGCAGCTATTAGGTACACCTTGAGTCAAGGATGCAAATTCTCCCCTGAGCGGCAGTTCAAACTGCGAGCTGGACGCAAGAGGGGCCAGTTAGTACACCACCCACCTTGGCGACAGTAGCGGGCGAAGATGTCGATGCTGGGAGGTGCTGTGTGTGGCCAAGGCGAAAGTAGCCTGGATA